GTCAGAATCAAGGTTGCAAGAAACAGACTAGACTATTTGGGCAAGTAGTATGAAATGTTAGTATCCAGGACTTAAGATTCTCAGCCAATTTATCAGATAAATGCTAAATGATTTTTGGTTAACTGACAATCATGGTTCACAAATATGCTTACTTTCTAAAGATCTAACATCTGATTAAGGTAGTAGAATAGCCCAAACCAAATCAAAGAAAGGTCAGGTAAAGCAGAGAACCAAGAGGGTGACTTTTTCTGAAAGTTCTTGACTAACTCACAAGCTAATGTATATTTTCATTTCAAAAAACATGATTCAATATGATGTGTCCAAACAAGCTAAATTATTGAAGAGAACTGCAAAGTCTGCATATGATGGATGCACATGAACCTTGAAAGTGTTTTTGTTGCATTTTTTAGAATAGTTATAAACGTCAGGTTACTGCTAGTGATCCTGCTCTTATGACTGGCATTTGTAAAATAATATTTGCCAAAGTTCATGTGACTATTCCTGTGAAAACCATGGACAAACTTCCTTTCAAACAAAATTTTGTGTCAGTTTAGTGAAAATACTATAAATGAAACTACTGTAACTATTAGTTTTGTTATTTTTATACAGTAGACTAGAACTAGTATATGCCTGTTAGTGTCAGGTACCTTCAAATCAGTTCTGATTCATAGGGACCCTATAGGACAGAGTAGAACTGCCCCATAGGGTTTCCAAGGAGCGCCTGGTGGATTCAAACTGAGGACCTTTTGGTTAGCAGCTGAACTTTTAACAACTATGCCACCAGTGTTTCCAGTATATGCCTAGCATGTTGTAAATACATATTTCAGATATTTGTGAGTGATATGATGTCTTATAGGGAAATTGCTGTAATTAAAATTGTTTACCAGATTATCAACAGTCACTGTAATTGTCCATGGAGTATACAATTAAACATTCAAACAGTTCATTTGTTCAAAGTATTTTCAGATTGAAAAATGTTCAAGACATGTTTAATAGATTATACTTTCCTTTTTCTACTATTATAAACAAAATAATTATTCTTGACTCATAGATTATCTCAACCATTATTTTGTAATTTATACTGGAACTAAAAAATTCCAGAAAATGTATTTTAGAACAGTTTATACTTAACAAAATTTTAATTTTGAAAAATATTGTTGAAGAATAAAAATCCTGCATAACAAGATTAATTTATATATTTGGGAGAGGTGGGACTCATAAAAGAATATTTAATAAATGAGTGGGGGGGTTCAAAGTAGTAAAAAATGGTGAAACCCATATTAAAATATTCATTACTAAAAGACATGTTGAACTATTGACAAACCTATAAAATTTGAAAAATCTAGTATTTTCACATTCATAGAAAATGAGTGTATTTAGATGTGATGTTATACAGGACATTAACTTTTTGATTCTATTTTTATAAAGATTAAATTTTTATCGTAAATTCACATGGAGTTGTGAGAAAAATTCAGAGATTTCCCATTTTCCCTTTATCCATTTCCCCCCAATTGTAACATCTTGCAAAATTATAGTACAATATCATAACCAAGATATTGACATTGACACAGTCAAGATACAAAGCATTTCTATCACTACAAGGATCTCTCATGCTGCCCTTCTACAGCCATACCCACTTCTCCCTCGTGTCCGTCTCTCCCCTACATAACTCCTAGCAACCACTAAAGTGTTCTCCATTTCTATAATTTTGTCATTTCAAAAATTTTATATAGCATGTCCGGGCAACATGGTGCTATAGGCAGGAGCACCACACTGTCCCTTCACAGCAAAGATCTCAAAAACTAAGCCAAACAGAGAAAATGGCAATCCTGAAACCCTAAGCATCAAAAGAAGAGATAAAGAACTCAGCCAAGCACCGAATGGAATAAGAAACTGACCAAGAACAGAGAGTGAGGAGAGATACACGCAGAGGTCCCCTAACAGCTAACGCAGCACGGATCCGCCATCTTGGACTTCTATCAGAGACCAGCGAACAGGGGTATGAGAAAGCAGCTTCAGGGAGCTTCCAGCAGGAAACAAAACAACTGGTAACCAACAATATATGCTTTCCCACTCCACACCTTTCTTCACTCCCACTTGGCCTCCTCTGCTTCCTGCGGCCACAGTCTCTTGTCCAGGAAGCATTGACTTCACCCTGGTGTCACTTGGATTCACCCGCCTGTACTGGCTGGCTCCCTAAGTGCCATTTGTTGGCTGCTGGTGTTGCTTTTTTCTGCTCTTTAGATTTCTTCCTTACCTTTCACCACCTCCCCCTCCTTTCTCTCAAATACCTGGCTCTGTGCACCATATTTGCTTCTTCCTGAAAGGCTGTGAAACTGAGACTGCTTCCAGCCCATGATGCCATGCTGGCGAGATCCCAGGGCTTTTTGTTTGTTTGTTTTGAATTGTTTGTTTGTTTTCTTTTTCTCTTCTCAAATTGGGATCCTGTTCTAGCCAGGCAGTACTCTGCGGCTTGGGACCTACCCCCTCAGTTTGCTTAGATGCATAGAGGGATCCCTGAGGACATTTCTTTTTTCTTGTTTTTTTTTGGGGGGGTTTCTCTTTTGGTGGGGTTTCTTGCTCTGTTGCTTTTTCAATTTTTTGTGTTGTCTTCTTTTCTCTCTTTTTCTCTTTTTGTCTTTCTTCATTACTCATTTGCTCATCTCTTTATACTTTCCTTCTCTTCCTGTCCCCTGAATACCTGGCCCTGAGTGGCACCTCTACACCTTCTAGCCAGGCTGCACTTCACAGCCTGGGAGAAACTTCCCCAGACCTTGTAGCCACACCGGTGGGATCCCTGGGAGCTTTTCTTTTCTTTTTTCTTTCTAATTTTTGTTTATTCAATTTTTTATTTTTTATTCTTACTTTCCTTTTTGTTTTTCTCCATTTCATAGTCTCTCATGTCTCCACTCCAAAAGCAAGCTCCCCTAACACTCTTTTTTGTTTGTATGTTTTAGCTCCTGTTACTCTCTCCTCACTCTCCTCTCTTCCATATTCATCTTAGCTCCACACATAACAATCTCCCCGCTCCGTCCTGCCTACCTGCACCATGCACTGAACATCACACCACCAAGCAGCCCAGGCACAGCCTACCGGAAACTGCCCTGCACTGATTACCAGCCCGCCCTGGTGGCCCTAGTAAGTGCCACAAACAACCTATCCCAGCAGCTCCTCTTCAGCTAAACCTGCCCTGCTGTACCATATCCGAGCGACTGAGCCTGCCAATTGGAGAAGGGTGAAAAGTATCATGCCCACAGATGAGCAAACAACAAAGAACACACAGCCCTCCTGCACAGACATAACCAAATAAAACAAAAAAACAAGATGAACAAACAAATCTACAATCAATAAACAAGAAAAATAACTATTGAATGCCCCAAGGACAGCAGACAATATCAAAACATTTACAAAAATAGGACAGGATGGTTCCAGTAGGTGTGCAAAGTAAAACACCAGAAGAGTTTCCAGTAGAATAAAAGGCACTAGAACTACATGATAGCGAATTCAAATCTCCAATATTCAGAGCCATCCAAGAGTTGAAGCAAAAAGCAGACAAAAATGAGGGAAAAACAGACAAATTCATGGAAAAGGCAGACAAATTCATGGAAAATAGAGACAAAAAATGGAAGAATTCAGGAAAATAATGCAGGAACAAAATGTTAAAATAAATTCACAACTAGAAATCATACAAAAACTACAGTTAGAAATCCAAAAGATAAACAACAAGATTTCAGAAATGGATAGTGTCATAGAAGGGCTGAGGAGCAGGTTTAAAACAGTGGAAGACAGGCTCAGAAAAATTGAAGACAAACACTTGGATACAACTCTGTTTAAGGAAAAAAATCAGAAAAAATAACAAAGAAAAATGAAGAGATCCTGAGAGTTATGTGGGATACAATCAAAAGCAAAAATCTGAGAGTGATTGGAGTTCCAAAACAGGGGGAGAAAACAGAAAACACAGAGAGGATCTTTGAAGAACTTCTGACAGAAAGCTTCCCCAATATCATGAAAGATGAGAAGCTGACCATCCAAGAAGGTTACTAACCCCATATAGGATAGACCCCAAAAGAAAATCACCAAGGCATATTATAAGCGCCTTCGCCAAAATCAAAGACAAACAAAGAATCCTGAGAGCAGTCAAGAAAAACAAAAAGTCATATACAGAGAAAAAACAATAAGACTAGACTCAGATTATT